GCTAGTTATGCTGTACTGCTACACGCATTCGGTTGGACCTAAATGTTATTTATCTAGAGGAGAAACTGCTACATAGGTTCTGTCATACACTGAATTGCATCTTATCCAGGGAGAGTTTTGATTCCAGCTAGTCACCTGGGTCCCAGTCTGGTTTCAACATGGTGAAATCATGTTACTCGGAACAGCAGCAAAATGTACTGTGTTTAATGTATTGAAAGAAAGCCTAGGAGCTTGAACAGTAGGGATTACTCTTGGGAAACATTTAGATGTGAATATTACTTGTTGATATTACTTGTCCATTAGAGTAAAAGCCAGGATTTTGGTTTTTGAGTGCTTTGTCTTTTTACTGTCTTCTAATATCTAAAAGCAGGTCTATGGATTTCTGATTATAACCTGAACTAAAGCTGGATTTTTAACTTCTAAATACCAAGAAGGTGCCTTTTGCTGAACTGATTATATTTAAGGAAAAGTTCAGTATATGCTTTGTACTTCAGATGTTTCCTTGTTGGATTTTTTTGTAATTTGCAGCATAGTGACCTGTCACTTTGTGGATGATTCTACTCTTGACTGTGCCTGGAAGTTATAAGTTGTATTTTTTGACTCATCAAACACAACAACATTTGTGAAGTGTTTGAACATGTTGTTTTCACGGTTCAAATGTGTAGTTGCAGCTATATCATCATAATGTTGCAATTTGTTTCACGCAAAAGTTGTGTAAGCTGACAAGCTTAATGTCTTAAACCGAGTGCTCCTGCTGGCGGCACTTAAAGCAGTATTGGCAATAAGTGCTGGAATTGTACAGTGCATTTAGCCTAGTATGTTTTGGTTGTTCTTGGACAAAGGCAATAGCTTACTTGAAAAGTAAAGAGCAAATAGAACAGAGAATTTAAGTCATTTTGGATAATAGTCTTGCAATCTGCTGGGAAAGGTAGTTGTCTTGCTAAAGGTGCCTTGCTAAAGGCAATGTGGAAAAACTGTTCAGTTGGGTATAAGTGAAATCCTTTATGTGCCAGGAAATGTTGGATTGTTTCTATAGGAGAATATTCATATTGCTATTGCATGAAGCTGTGATTTTTACCTGCTATCTTACTCCCTTTTTGTATGCAAGACTCTCTCATTTTACTGGCAGTGTATATATAGTACTTTATTCTTTTGGCATTATGCTGGTGTACTGCAAAATGTGGCTCTCAATAAACAAACAGTCCTTTTTTCACTGTTAGCAGAAGTGGAGCTAAGCTTTCTAAATTCAGGAGTATGAAATTCGTATTCTAATTTTTAAGGGAAGGGAGACATGTTAGTTTGTGCATGTGTGTTTGTTTTGTTTTTAAGCTTCACTCCTTTGACTGTTATGCTGAAGGGTGACAGCTATAAAAGGATGGAAAAAGCAGGCTTTTCTGGAGGAGTCTTGCTTCTTTTTGGGTTGAATAGTAAGGGCGCTGGAGTCAAATTCAGTCTTAAAGAACCATAGAAGCCATAGATGCACTTTTGTTTTGCTCTGATGCACTCTGGCTTCTCAAAATCTTTGTTAAGACAGTTTGGCAGCTTATGCGTGTCTTTTGGATTCTGTTTTTTCTTCCCCTTCTCCCAGCTAGGGTACACCGAGTCTGGCTTTCCTCTTGTGAGGAATGCATAAAGGAACATCTGAATAACTAGTTTGCTCACATGTTTTCTTCAGTTTACTTCAAAATGATTTTTCTCAGAGTTGAGTACGATTATCTGAAAAATCTCTGAACTGAAAATTGTCCTTCTTTAGGTGAAGTAATTAATGAAAAAGACCGCTGTAAAAAATGTGAAGGGAAGAAGGTGATCAAAGAAGTAAAAATACTTGAAGTTCATGTAGACAAAGGCATGAAACATGGGCAAAGAATTACATTCAGTGGAGAAGCAGATCAGGCTCCAGGTGTGGAACCAGGAGATATTGTTCTCTTACTCCAAGAAAAGGAGAATGAGGTAATACTTTTGAGTTTATATGTTCAATACTTTTATCCTAATCTTTAATATTAAAAGTGATATAGATGGCTGCTTTTTTTATAGGTGGCTGTTCGTTTTAAAGTAATTGATATAGCTGCAACTCTAGGAGAGGCAATGATGAAATAGCTTTTAATAGAGGTATAGCAAGTAACATTGCTTTTAATTGTGAGCCAAAAAAAAAAACTTTGCAAGTCTGCTGCCTGGGCACGTGTAAATTCTGGTGCTTCCTTGTGATAATAAAAGGTGGCTTTCTCAGGTAAGCTCAGGGTGACTTTTCTAGGTGTAGACAGTTGAGAGCTGTTCAGGATGTTAACTTGCCTCTGCTTCACTTGTGACATTAACATAAAACACTGTATGTTGCTTTTTAATGTCTTGTGAAATGGCAGGGAACTCCTATTAGAATTCCCAGGTGGTGCTTTCTCTCTCTGCTACTGTGGTTATGGAATTACAACATAGATATCAGCATTCTGTCAGGCCATTATGTTAATGATTTATTTAACAAAATGCTAAAAACTGGATTATTTTATACTGGCTTGTTAAATTTTATGCTTATTGTGTTTGGGAGTATATAAACTGCACTTTTGAAATAAATATTACAAGGTTTTATCTTTATGTTAAACCACTGTACGTGCTGAAGCTTCCCTTAGGGCAGAATTGAGGTGATTGCTTGTGTTTACAAAGCCCAGATATCACTATGATGAAGTAAGAAATAGTTTGGGTGTTAGGCATTGAAAAAAAATTCATTGTGTTGTGACTCAAATAGCATTAGGTATGAAATTAAATTCTAGTTGCCCATAAGGCTATAATGTTTGTTATCTGAAAGTTAGGAACCTCTACAAGTTTTTTAAGTTGGTGTTGAGGACTGCTGTTTCGTCAAAATCAATGTTTTATACAGCTCCTTGTATGTTTCTTTATTCTTTCATGTGTAACATGGTTGACACACAGAATCACAGTTGATCTGGACTATGATAAGGGAAAAAGTCTACAGACATATGAAGCAGTCTGAGACATGCATGGCAGCTGAAATTCCAGATCGCAGATACCATCTTTGTCTTCTAATGAACTACGTCCGGTTTTACCGTATTAGCCATTCTGAAAAATAGCGTAGCTGTGTCCTAGTGAGTAAGACTAGACTGGCTTTCAGTGTAGCTTTTAGTATGTTTATAATCCACCTCAAGATGGAAAAGAGGGCAGAAGAGAAGAAATGTTTTGGAGTTATGCCAGTGGACAAAACTTAAATTTACTCTAAATTTGGGAATCCGAAGTGGGATGGCTTAGGGATCACTTAAGACAGCTGTAGACTAGTTGATGAAAACCCTGCTCTATGGACAGAGCTAGCTGAAGCAGATATCTACAACTATTATTTAAACTGTTGAGAAGTGAGGGGTGTTTTTGTACTCAGGGGCAGGGGGAAGTAGTGTCAAACTGCCTTAACTTTTGTTTATAGGTTGTTTGTGGAAGATCTTGAGGGTAGGACAGCGCTGCTGCTGTACAGGGCTTTTTTTTTTCTTTTTCCTAATTTGAACCTTGCCGTTGTAGCATCTACCGTGGCTTGCCTTATCTTTAGGTAGAATTTCCATACAGAGCAAACTTTCCAAGCATGTTAAGTTATATGGGTTAACAGAAGCAGATTAACTTTGTTCAAAGGCTGTTGGCTAGCTTTGACATGGAAAAATTTTAAGAAAAAATAATAATGAATTGCTAGAAGAACTAACTAGTGAGTCTTGTGAAAATATGACTGTAGTACTAGAAAAGACGTCTGTTCCTATCTGTAGGTGTTCCAGCGGGATGGGAATGACTTGCATATGACGCACAAGATAGGGCTTGTTGAAGCACTGTGTGGATTTCAGTTCACTTTTAAGCACCTTGATGGACGTCAAATTGTGGTTAAATATCCTCCTGGAAAAGTAATTGAACCAGGTGAGTTTGACCTGATAAAGACTCCTCTGACCATGCTTTTGTGATTCTTGAGCACTTAATCCCATTCTTATTCTGTTACCTGAACCCAGGCTGGAGAAATTGAGACTTGCATAGTCTAGGATTTGTTCTGAAGTAGCTCTTTCCAGCTTACTTCTGTTTGAATTGCAGGTTGTGTTCGTGTAGTCAGAGGTGAAGGAATGCCACAGTACCGCAATCCTTTTGAGAAGGGGGATCTCTACATTAAATTTGATGTTCAGTTTCCTGAAAATAACTGGATTAGCCCAGAAAAGCTTTCAGTAAGTACTCTTTCAAACATAAATGCAACATTCTTATTTGGCAGTATACAAAGTACTTGTGTTGTACCCTATAGGTTTGCTTTCCAGTATTTGAATTTGGATGCAAGTACAGTTACATTGTTAACATTGTTTATAGGGAACATGTAACTTGAAAATAGCTGTTGGAATGTAAATTTCTGGAACATGCCTTTAAGAGCTGCGCAGATGTTTAAGGGCAGGAGGAAGAATCTTCTTGTAATAACTGCTACTGTGTGATAAGTTTTCAGAGTGTGACTGTATTTACTGATTGTACTTTGGGCGATGATATATGCAGCTGTTGGCTTTCTTTAAGTGACATCTTTCAGTTGATGCGAATACTTGGGATACTTCTAAATGAGTGTGCACTTCAAGGCTTACATCAGCTTAGAGTTCTAAACTGGACCTGCTGTGAGAAAAAAGCTTGAAGTTGCAGGAAACTAGTCACTGTATTTAGCAGTGGCAGATACAGCACTGACTGTACTTCTTTCTTGGGGCAGGAACTTGAAGATCTTCTGCCAGCTAGACCAGAATTTCCCAATGTAATTGGTGATACGGAAGAAGTAGATCTTCAGGAATTTGATACCACTCGTGGTTCAGGTGGTGGCCAGAGACGTGAAGCTTATAACGATAGTTCTGATGAAGAAAGCAGCCATCATGGACCTGGGGTACAGTGTGCCCATCAGTAAACATTTGTCTAAAAAGTTGCACAAGGATTTTCTTTCAATTTTTGCCTGACTTGTTTTCAACAATCCAACTGGATTGTGTAAGTAATCCAGATGAACCAATGGACATCTATTGCTGTATGTGTAACTTTTAAATTGGTCTATAGTATCTACAGAGTGTAATTTAAACTAACCACAAAGCTTACATCTTCATTTTGACTGTGTAGCAGAATAAAGCACTTGAAAGGAAGACGAGACTCCTTTTCACATGGGTTTTAAGTTTGTCCTCGTATCTGTGCTTGATTTTTACCAGTTTTGTGTAGATTTTAAGTTTCATATTTTAAATTCAAATTCTACATTGTAAAGTTTGTGTACAATTTGTCCTGAGGCTTGGTATTTGGCTGCACCTGCATAAGCTGCTACAAGTAGAATATAAGATTTTCATAGCCTGTATCTATCATCTAGATGCATGGTAAATGGGCTTTGCACATAATGGGTTTAGAGCTGACTGGGAACAATGGAAGACTAAATTAGAAGTGGTTGTAAGTTTTTTCTACCATCTTGTGAACGGTTTCTGAAATTAAATAAAAGCAGTTGGTGTATAATATATTTCTTTTGCCTTGTAACTTTACTTTTCCAGTGGTTTTAACTACTGCTCTGCACCAAGTGATTGTATGTAGGGGTAGACATTTATATAAACGTAAGGAGGCTGAAGCTGCTTTTTAAAAGCAGGTCACAGGTAGATAAAGAATTTAGTATGCTGCATGCAAGGTAGTCTTTTCTTGAAATGGGATATGATGGGCATGGGGAAGGCTACAGCCATGTTCCTTTTATATGAAGAAAATACTGGGAGATCTGAGTGCAGTCGGAAGATATCAAAATCTTCTAAATGAAGATGATTAATTCCCCCAAACAATGGTGTCTTTTAATCTTTGACTAAAATCGAAGTCTAGTTCAGCCTGATTTCCTAGAAGAATGCTTTCATTTTTAAATTACATCTTTGCCAAAATGAGCATGATGCTTGGCCATTTGTGGTTGCATTAAAGTATTTTGTGAAGAGATGAGCATTTTCCTTGATAAAAGTTTTTTGCTTGGAAACATATTCAACGTAGCTGTTTTTGTTAGAATCTGTTTTCAGCAGTTTGTGTTCAAGTGTTTTTTGTGTTCTAACTACTAAGATCTCGAGTTACCATGTTCCTGTTTCTTTTTTACATGCTCTTAATTGGTAAGATATCACAACTAAGCAAAATCTAAGCCTTCCATAATGATGGAGTACAGTCGCTTATCTAAGCTTTGTTAGTTCTCGTTATGGTGATGAGAAACTGCATGAACTTTATAGTTGGTCAGCTGCTTCTTATTTTTCTTCCTCCTCCTGTAGAGGAGAGGAAATTAGAAGAAGCCTCTACTTTTCTTTACAAATCTGAAGCATGTAACTTGTTTAACGGTGCTCAGATAGTTGTTGACCCTCTTTACTGGTTAGAGGGACAAGCTCCAAAGGCCTCTGTGTACTTGGGTAGGCATTGACATTTGAGATTGGATTCCAAAACAAGAATGCTCAGTGACAAAGCTGAAGCAAGAATGAATCCTGTTAGACCTATATGTCAATACTGACTTTTTATGCTGTGTGGCATTTCCATCTGGTAACTCTTTATTTTGTTTAGTAAATCTTGCATTGCTTTTCATAAAGCCATGGTTATATACTGATCCCTCTGATGGTTCATTTTACCAAGAAGTCAGTTGTCTTAACTTGTAATGCTTAAACAGTAATACACTTGTCTGACTTTAGGACAATTTTAGGTGGTAGTTGCTGGATTTACCTCTCTGGAAAAAGAGTATGCAGTCCAAATTCCTATCTTGTGACTTTGAAATTGCATTTTCCTTGGTGCAGGAGTGGGGTTGGGGGTTCACAATAATTCTTCAGAGAGCATGCTGATGTGAAGGGGGAAGTTGATCACTGTATGTAAAGTGATTTACCCTAGTTCTGCTTTGGTCCTGAGAATGTGTTAGTTTAGGTTCCTGAAGGCAGTGTCTTTCAGCAGGTGGCTTGTTCAGAGCTGCTTTTATTGTATCCTGCTCTACTAAGAGGTATCCCTTTACAAAGCTACAGTGTAGAGAAAAAAAAATCATGTAAATCCATAAACTACACTGTCTTGGTTTCAATATTTAATTAGCAAGTAATATACTACTGTAGCTACTAATGGTTTAGTAGTTTACTGATCAATGCTTTGCTATAGCTACTAATGTTTTGACTAGGTCGATACAATTCTACTATAAGAAATCAAACTTAAGTATTCTTAGCAATAAACTGTTCCAACTGAAGCACTTAAGTCAGAGGAGGTATTACTGAAGAATAGGTGTGGTGTTCTCTATTTTTAGAGATGAAAAAGCCTTTCACAACTAAATTAGAACCTTAAAGAGCTGAAGGAAAAAAATGCAGGGGGTTGAGAGATGTCTGTTTCCACATATAAAAGTGATGAGAATTGATGTAAAGATGATTTACAGGAAGCCTGTAAGAAAATATGTACTCTATCAAGAAGATGTTTACAGTGCATTTCTTTTCATATGGTGCTGATAGTGTTGTGTGTGGTTGGTTTGTTTGTAACATACAAAATGAGGCCATATGCTTTTGGAAATGGGTCTGTAGAAAAATAAACTAGTAGAAGAAAATGAGATTACTGGTGTTTGAGAAAATTAAACATGTCAAGGATATTAAAATCAATTAGTATTTACAGCAATTTCTTTCCTATTGCTTTACTATTTACGTCCTCTTCAGAAGGCTCTGTATTTTACTCATTAACTCACAAACTTCTAGTGCAGTGTTAGGCTGATGCAATTATGAAGTTAAAATACCTTACCCCCTTATCCTCATCATCTTAATTGTATACATTACCTCTTTCATCAAATTTAAATGAACACTGTAGATACGAATGGACTTCTGTAGGCTTCCTAGCTTAATGGTAGTTCATAAGGAAGACTGCACTTGTTCAAGAAGTCTTTGGGCTTCATTACAATGATACAGTGTATCTTGTGAAGGTGCCCTTTGTGTCAGGTACTAGAAACACTTTCCCAGCTTTTAGAGATGAGTTATGTGACTAAAAGGCTACTAAGTTAAACTCAAATACTTTAACTACACCAGCCCCAATGAAATAACTGGAGCTATCTTTTAAATATTTTTGTAATAGGAGTACCACCCTACCCGAGCTGCAGCAAGATCCCTAAAGGTATTCATCTGTCTTTCAAAGCATGCCTAATACTCTATTCAACCTTATACCCTTTCCAAAAATTTGCCTGCACTAATCATGTAAGAGCTGAGAGCATAGCATATTTATTATACTTACATATCAATGCAAGGAGAGATACCTATATTAATTCAAGCTACACTACTAAATTATTCACAGAACTAAGTGTTCATGAACATAATTATGGCCTAAAGTTCTACCAACTTCTCCATGAGATCTTCATTCCTGCATTTTCTGGTTACTCAGGGACAGAAAGCCCAGTTTTAATAAGGTAGGTTTAACAGTTTGTATTGACTGCATGTTCTTTACCAATTTCACCTTTACCTTGTCTTCCATGCCCTGAAAAGGTGGTTGTGTTGTGGGGTTTTTTTCCCCCTTCTTGAGGCTTGTGACCTTTGTCTCATTAAATTTGAGGTTTACATTGAAGCACAACAGGAAAAAGTGCTTAGAAGCTAGTCTACATTTCATTCTTAAAGTTTTTAAATGCCACAAAACAGCTTTTCCTGCTATCATTTAGCCTAAATGATAGCCCGATTCTTTCTTCACAGTAAAGAATCTCAGTCAAAATCAGAGTGGAAACTAAGGAACAAAAAGCATCAAGTTTTGGAACTACTGATGTACCAGCAATAGTCACCACAGGACTGTTGTCTGTACCTGGGAAGATGGCAAGTGCCTTTCCTCCCAGTTACTCAGAAAATACATGATAATAAATACAAGTGTTAGGAAAACTGGGTCAGAAACACCATCACACATGACTCCCATAACAGGGAATCTTGAGTTAATGCTCATCCATATTAGTCTTGTGCTATAACACAAGACAACTGTGGAGATAATATGAATCTCACACAAGATTAAACAAGCAATATGGGCCACTACAGGCTAAAGCTCTATGGCTTAAAAGGCTATTCAAGAATTTAGTCACTGGGAAGGCCAAACATGCTGGTCCTGTAGGTGACACACATGGAAGAAGGACATTAAATAGTTCTATAAGTTAGAACTAACTACTTTAATAGCAGCATATATGAAAATAAGTTTTATACTCATTCTACTGTGAAATAAGCTTGATGTTAGCTAATCCTTCTAGAAAGCTTGAGAGGTAGAATTACTTTGCTTTTGTATCCTTTAGAGATGACAGGTATTTTTAATAATATACAAATTGCATTGTAAGCTTTATATAAAAACATTTATTGGGCAGCACACAGCTTTATTAAGACATAGAAATTCTCTAGACACTTTAGAAGAAGAAAGAAAACTGTCATATGACTATTCTGTAGTCAGGAGACAGGCTTTTATGCAAGTTCCATTAACTTGGTTTAACTGTTGCCTTTCCACATAGTACAGTCAGCTCACTCTGAGGGGAAAGAAAATTAATTTTAGTTCTAGCTAACAGATACATGCATGTAAGAGGAAACAGATAAACTAGCTGTTGCTAAAACAAGCAATAAGCAAACACATCCTCAATCTTTACCTACAGAGGCAGGTGCATGTTCCAAAATACAAGGTAGCTTCCACATCTTTAACTCACACAGCTTCATTCTAGTCTAAATACCCATAAGATTGTAAGACTTGTGTTTAGGTATATACCAGATCTCTAGTACTGCACATGCATGTATTCAACAGCCCCAGCTATGCTTCTCCCTGGGAGAGTTAGTATGTGGTACAAGAGTCTGTTCAAATGTATTTTGCTTCAAAATAATTTTACTTCCCTGAACTCAAGATAAGATAGTTACTATTCAAGAGCAGCAGAGAATTAACAGGAGTCCTTACTCATCAAGGGAGACAGAATGATAGAGGGACTGCAACAAGAGCTGAAACTTAGCTGCATCTTTCTAAGGCTTTGTGAATAGGAGACTGAGCAAACTGCCCTTCTCTGACAGCAGGACAGACATTGGATGGATCAAGAAAGATGAGCTTATGCTTCTTTCCTCCCCCAGGCATCTACTAGACTCCACATGCTTATGTAAGCATATTTGCATTAATGTGCAGAAGTTCTTCCCCTCCCTCTCCCTAGTCCTCCCTCCAACTTAGGCCAACCAATTTAGGCTTACCCTCAGAACAATTACATATTTAGAAAGTGTCAGTGCCTCACAGGACTAGATGGCAATTCTGTAAAGCCTTTTGTGAATATCTAAATATAAATTACTAGTTTTAAGCTTACCACTAAGTTATGAATATGCTGTACTGTATCTTGATTTAGCAGTTGCACATCAATGTTACGGAGGTCTCCACCAGCTGTACAGAGCGTCTAAACAAAGAGAAACTTAGTTTTAAGATAAAAACTATTCTGAATGTTTTTATATCTATGGCCACCTTTTCTGAAGGTCATATACCTCCATGCTGCACTGCAGAACTGAAACTGTCTCTTTTGTTTAGCAGCAGCTCATTTCGGGATAGCAAAAATTACTATCAAACTATTCACCTTTTGTTTAACAACTACTGTAAGTGCAAGAAGTAAAAAAAAAAGGTTTGATACCTGTCCATCAGCCAGGGGAATGTTTACAAATGGAACAGTTTTATCTTGGGGTACTGATTTACTTCTTAGTAACATGCCTTGAACTCTTCCACTGGTAGGTACAGTTTTTGGGACACCAGGTTGTAGTCTAGCACTGGAATACAAGAACATTGTTTGTCTGAGGTTAACTTCCTATGTCATGCAAGAGACTCTCGAGCATGGAGCAAATGCAAGTAAAAGCAGATGTATCTGACAAAGGCAATCATGTTTGAATTTTTCCAGTTCTCACAGAAGACCACAGGAAATCAAACATCTTAACATTGTTGGAAGCAGCAGTGGCATTTACTAGCACCGCTAGTAATATTTTAATGACTCTAAAATGCTGCAGTAACCTTCTAGGGCTCTGTTACAGGCCAGTGAACAAGCTGACATTTGGACCTCTCAGCAACAAGAATATCCACTCTCCAGTATCTGCAGTAAACACTTACAGTTTTGGAAAGAAGAAACTTCATGCCTCAGGGCTTAAGATAAGACTTAAAGCATATCTGTCTACTACAGAGGAAGATATTGAGAAATACTGAAGCTCCTGTCAGTGGTATGGAACATGTTTTATGCCATAAGGAATTCCTAAGTTTCTTTTGGGATACCACTTGTTCTTATTCCCCTTCAAAATGCAAGGTTTTGGTATCTTCTACTTGGAAACAAGCCTCTGACATTTATAGCAGGCCATGGTGAAAAGGTAAGCCACTTTCTCGTTTGTCATCCTTTCAGTTATCAAACTTTTTCAGTCACTTTAGCTGATGACATCTGCCAAAACCAGACTCTGTAGTTTACAGAGCATGATTAAGTTTTTCTGCTTATTGAACTGTTCAGGTTTCCAGTCATAAGCACAGGCATATTAGTCATATTTTCATTCAGCTAGGGTTCTGAGAAGTAGTTTAAACTGTGTTTAAACAACACTGGGTGGGAGGGCAATTTGTATTCATGTATATATGTATATATATAAAAATACATATTTTAAACAGGCTAAGTTATAACATCACATCCTGTACCTCCATGAGAACATAAGTTAACACCCATACTCAAAGAAAAAAGTATAATTGGCTGGCATCCCTGCTACCAAATTTAGTGGCACACAATCTTCATCCTGCCTTGATATCAATATAGATATATATAATCTTAGTATTTAACAAAATAACTTACTTATTAAGAACAAACAAACAAAACTTACCTTTTATATACCTTTGGCATGGCTTTGTAATTTGTGGCACTGCAATCAGAGGCAAGAGCCTTAACAGCCTCACTCACATTTGGAGAAGAGTGAGCAGACCTAACAAAAGAGATTTTTTTTTTTTTTAAAGTTTCCTCCTCATCTACTTCTGCTGTAAGGATTTGTGGAGATACAACTACATCTCTTTATCAGCTGATGTTTGCTCCTTAATGGCACTTCTATACAAGGTTCACAGGACTACAGTGCATCTGATTCAGGTTATGCAACATATCTTATCAGATTTCTTATCAGGCTCAAATCTCAGCTGCTTTACTTGAAAAAGAATTTTACTCTGTGTTTGCAAGTTCCATAAGTTACATAAGCTATCAAAGGTCAGCCTTACCTAGGAAGAGGGTTCAGTTTGCTATTTAAACCAGAGGCCAACGAAACCAATGACTTTGTTTTGGATACCTGAAAACGTATATGTAAGAGTACAGTTAAAAGAAATGATATTTTAAGGCAATAACAGATAGTTCTAGGAAAATATTTTAAGAACTGTTCTTTTTCAGCAGGGAATTAAGTCTCATAGTGCTGCCTTTTATACAGTTTTACATGTAGTCAAAATGACTCAAGACCAAGGTTTTATAATGTAGAATCATGATTTGTTTGTTAATACTGAAGTTCAGTATGAATGCAACAACCTTTCTAATACACAACCTTCTAAGTTGTAAGGCCTGTAATAGAATTGCACATATAATCTTCGTGTCTCAGTTGGTTTGTCATCTTGGCACGTACTTCAGTGTCCAGCTGAGCCATTACATTCCACAGAAGGACTGAGGTGGTAAAAATCAATACAGCTATGATATGTGGCTTGGAGATCAATGTGGACAGGAATGCACAAGACATCCAAATATAGAGAAACATGTATTAAAAGAAGTTGTGTATTAAAAACACAAGTTCCTCAAACCATCCAGAGAAGACGGCTATTAGCAACAAGAGAAAATGACTATACTAACATTTACATGTCTGTGTGAATGTTACAGAAATCCAGATACCATAGCTTATTATGAAATTAATTTGCAATGCAGTTTAGCCTTGCTTAAATTCAACATATTTTAATTAAGCTAAAACAATTGATTTTTCAAACAAACAACAGGCCACTGGCCTGCCTGATCATGGATCTAGTAGGGTCCATAGTAGGTCAGAACTGATTAAACCCTTGTGTTGTTTGTCTGGAATAAACTTACTTTTTTAGATATTTTCTTTGCAGAAATATGCTTGGCATCTTCATATTCAACAATTGTAGTTACCTTAACTAAAAAGGTATTAGAAAGACAAGGAAAATAAAAATCTCATGAAGAACATAACCACCACCTCATACTCATTTGAGTGAAGGCTACTTGCCCACTGACAGCCACATATCAGTTCTGCTATTCGATGGTCAGTTGCCTGGCACTGAGTTCAAAGCAAACTGTACATGTTTGTCACAGGCCCTGTGACGCACTGGACAGTTAAAAGACACTGGATAACCCTTTAACCCTCAGCCAAAATAAAATTACATCTCAGTCACAGCGTCCTTCTTATTGCACATTTTGGAGAATGAAGAGAAATAGCATTCTCCTTACAAACGTGAGCAGGCAGGAAGTCAAAGCAGAACTTGTCAAAAAAATATGGATGACATTCCTAGCTCTTCTGCGAGGCACTGACAAGTCACTTAAATCTGTCTCTTCTCACCGTTTTTCCAGTGATAAATACAACGGACAGGAGCTCTTATCACATGTTTTAAAGTACCTAAATGCATAGCTCTTGATCCTCCATACAGGAAGCTGGGGGGACCTGTATACTGTACTTCTATAGAGTACAGTACTGTGCTTTTCCCTCTTGCATTCCCCTGGGCTTAACATTCACCTAGCCAACACTCAGCCCACACCACTAGAAGAGAAATATTTAAGAGTCAAGCTACATATTAATAGACTGACTTGCCTTTTTTGCTGTTGGTCCTCATCAGTTTTGGATTTGGTGTGTCTTCTAGAGAGCAGTCAGTCTATAGAACATTTAGCAGACAAGAGGAAACGTCAATAGATTCTGCACAGTGTATGCACGTTATCCCAAGAAAGGCAGTGAACCAAAAGGACATAAAACTACGTGACACAAGTGGGATTGGCTAAACACCACTTTATTTTTCATAAGCATACACAGAGCAAGAAAGGAACAGACAGTTAAGTCCTGTCACAAATTCAGGATTGGGCCTGCAGATGACCCTAAAACTTTAGGTAATGTTCATAACTGCACCATGGCTGTCTGGCTAGCTTTTTCATATCATCTTGTATTTAGACACAGACAGCCAAGCAAAAAACATTTCTCTTAAACCCTTACAGCAGAGATGGAAGGTTTCTGGTGCTGTAAGCTGTGATAAAATTTGAAAATACACACTTACCACTGCTGCAGCAAGAGCCACTTCCTCCTCTCCTTGCAAATCTGTAATACCAGAATATATAACTTGTTTATATGCTATTACTTGCTTAAGTATGAACTATCGGTTCCTATCTTATGGAATAAGAAACTGAACAAGTAATTCAGGAATATAGTTGTTTAAACAGTTAATCTTAACTAGGGTATATGTAGCATTTGAACAAGATTCAAGTACTATAGGACAGTCAGTTTTGGAACTCCATGAAAAAACAAGATAATAACAAGAATAAATAAAAATAAAAATCACTTCCACGTGTTTAATCTTTAAAGGAGTATGAAGTTTAGCCCACACTAACTGAATTTAAAGAAGAAAGAAAAGGTATACATTGCACTGATCAAAGCTAACACTTTTAGATGGAAGTTTTCAAGAAAGACACCAAAATACATACTCAGCAAAGGCTTACAGTAAACTCAGATCAAACCTAAGACTCTTGAACTTTTCTCTGGCCCCTGCAAGTTTCAGCTGCAAGGTAGATTTCAGAAATATCAGTTCTCACCAGAATATACATCTGATGCTGACTGTCCACCACGGCCTAAACTGCTGCATGAATACAAGGTTAATATTAAAGCTGTTTGTTCATCATCATATGTAAACAACTACATGATTAGGGCTCAGTAGTAAAGGACTTCAAATTAAGAGAAAAACAAAATAATCTCAGTGGCTAAGATGAACAGATTCTGATGGAAAGACGCGCTTAAGTTCTTAAGCGCAGGAACAGCTTACTAAGCTAAATTAGTCAGTCTTTGTCTCTTCAGGCTCTAAATAAGATGACTTATGAGCATATATATTAAAAGAAAGTACAGATTTCATACCACATGACCTACTAATGCCATACTCTGCATTACACAGGTCAATTGCAGCTGATCAAGGGCACCTACTGCTCATCTGCAACTTAATACCACTACTGATTCGCCTAACGTTTAGCAGACGTAGCGATCTTTTTCTTAAGAGTCCCAGATCTACTCATTTCCTTGTGTTAGTCCAGAGTACACCAAGATGTAAAGCGGCCTACAGCACTCACAAACATCATCCGATCACAAGCACTTACTAAGCAAGTCTTTTCTTTTCATTTTTCTGATAGCAATTGGCATCTTCAGCAACTCCACTGTAAACGCCTTCTCGGCTGTTTGCAAAAGCGAATCAAGTTCTTTCTTCATTTCCTGGATATTTTCCTTGGCTTTACAAAACAAAATAAGCCTTTATCGCCACACGTCCTACGTATTTCCAAGCGTAATCACTCCTGGCTCGCAGAGAAAGTTAAAATAAGGCCTTGTACAGGGCCAACTGGCTTTTATGCCAGAGTGACTCAAAGCGAGCTCCCAGCTGACCCAACTCCACGTATTTCAGGGTCAGAGCGGCCGAGGCCGCCTGGACGCTGGAACGGCGTCACCTGCCCCACACACCGCCAGCCGCCTCCCGCGGGCGCGCCACAGCCACCCAGGTAACTACAA